GTGCAAGAACAAATGGGCAGAAGTTCTTTGCAAAATATGCGACATCTTTTTAGTCATTGTGTAGAAGTTGAACGGATGATCTTGATCTGACAGGAAACTACAGCTTACAGTTATGAGGATCCAGCTCTGGGTTTTGGCGTCTTCCATTTTCAGGTGGAAAACAAGCTTGTTTCTTTTTAAGTACAAAAAAGCCAACAAATTCATACTGTAGCTAAAAGCAAATTTTGCAAATACTGCTAACTCAGCCATATGTTAAGGTAAACAACCACTTGATAGCAAAGCAGGTGAAGTATCAAAGAAACTCTGTTTGAATAGTATTTATTTGCAATCATTAGGTTTAAATGGGGAACTCTTTACAGGCACACACTGGATAACCAAAATAGAATGAACATAAAGAAATCTATTTGAAGGTCCTTTTCAAATATTTCAAATATTTTATTAAATATTTTATTCAGTTTCATTATCACAGTTTAATGTACTTTAGCATGTTATACACATGACTTAACATGTGCACTTAAAAATATCAAATTAGAGGTTTTTGAAGAAAGTATGACATTCTATAAATGTGCTTATTGACTTTTAACTACACACATCCAAGAAGGCAGTAGCTCTGTTATACCATTGATGAAGATGAACTATTGTAAGGCATGTTTACACCAAGCTTTGGAGAGAATAAAGCCAAATATTGGGTCAAAATTCAGTGGAATTATGCGTGAGAATAAAAGTTGAAGGATTGGGCCCTAGGAAGAAAGATCATAGCAAATCCGTTGTGTTAAAACTGTCAACAGATACTGGTTATTAAAAGCAAGCACTGCTGAGAAAGAAGGTTTTCGTAGCATCCAGGTCAGCAGGATCTGTGGGTTTTTTCAGGTGTGATTTTCAAAAATCACACCTTATGGTGTAATGTGAAGGAAAGAGACCGAAATCTAGCAAGAAAGTTGGAAAACTATCGTCCAAGAAACCTCACGTCGTTTTATGACCTAACACGGGAACACTTTTGTACAGAGAACACGTTGCAAGTCACTGCCCTCCGATGTGTGTGCGCGTATGTGTACGTATACACACATGCAGACACACACACATCTATGCCCCTCTTGCTTTTGTCACCTTCAAAGCCCCAACCACTGGTTAAAGTGTAGCAGTGTGTGGGAGAAAATAAGGTTTCGGCTGCAGGGGAGAGAAGAGTAGATTAGACCGTTACATTTAGAAGCCTAGTTAGTTAGCCTGTACAGGCATGTTTTTTTCCAGTAGAGTACAGTGTGGGTCTGCTGGTGTATGGTAACAGTTAGGACCCAGAAACTACAATACAATTCTTTGGAAGAACTCAACACACATTAAGCTATTTGCAGTCGTTTCTAAAATTCCGCGTCAACGAAGGCCCTAGGCCACAATGACGTGCCTCCCCCAGGAACATCACGCAAGCCCAAGCTTAACTCCCAGAGCGTAGTGGTCCGTAATCGGGGCTCCTGCACTGCCGCAGTGCAAACAACAACGCTGCCCCATAAGTAAGGATGGTTTTCAGCGTAAGCTTAGGTGTGTTGCTGAGTGGAGATCTCATGTCAGTCTTCCTAGATTTCTGCCTTAGAAGAATTAGTGGGGGAACATAAAATATACATCCATCTCATAAGCTTCTTTAAAGTTGTCAATTCAGTAGAAAATACTGAGTGTATAAATGACTCTAATAGTACTTAGGTGAGAGCCTAAACCTCACTGTGCCTTTTTATTGGGGGATTCAGGGGAGGAGGCAAGTAACTCTTTCACAGACTAAATGCACTCATTCACGGCGCTCAGAGTCCTGAAGTGCCTCAGCATCCTGGCAGCTGTAGGTGACAGTTCCACAATTATGTACAAGGTATGGAGAATGCCACAAGTATTACAAAACATGGCAAAGATAACTAGGAGCTCTACAATCTATCAAACAAGCACGGCAAACAAACGGCATCTAATGGATAACGTACGGCACACAACACACAAGTTGCACAGTTATGTTTCCTTGCGGAATCAGGATTGCAAACGTAAACTCCAGAACAAGTTTCAAGAGCAGCATTTGGCTTACTGCATCACCTCTGGCAATATCTGAAGTCCACCAGCCCACGAGCACTGCATTTTCTGCTGTTACAAAAAACGATCTCACTGAACCAGCTAGAACTAGCGGGCCCACGTCCTGCAACCCACATGACCATGGCAGAGGTTAAACAAAAATGCTCCAGCAACAGAGTTTGGCTACCACTGTATATTCAGCCTTTATGTTATATAAACGCTATATAAACGTTGCTCTTGCAAAGTAAAGCACACAGTGATACACAAATGGTATCAATGGCTGAAAAGATTACACGATCAAGCCTGAAAGCAAATGGAAGTTAATGAAAGTAGTCTTTTAGGAGAGGTAGCCATATTAGACTCAGCATTCAAAAAAAGGGAGTGCACTCAAAGGGTCAACATACATTGTAGTCTCTTACAGACCCATCATGGGTTTTTTTTCCTACCTTTTTGTTTGCAGAATGTACACACCCAGGCACACACGCACACACTCACACACACATATATATATACACATCTATCTTTTTTCCTAATTCCCCTCTTGCCACAACTCTGCCATACTGAGAACAAAGGCCAGCTTTCCTTTCATCCTCTCTTCGCTGTCCCACGTCTACAACTGTTGCCTTCAGTCTGTTCAGAATCCATACAGTAGCTAAACAGGCAGTGGAAATTAAAACTGCTTCAATTTAATATCCCGCTCCAAAAGATAGCATCCAAACCATAAGGCGTTCCCTTGTTCTGATGCGAGCTACAACCCTCTTGGGTTTCTACTTGATACAAACTGCAGAGTGCTCTTCGGCCTTGCGCTACAAAGGCAGCTTTCACGCAAATAATAAAGACCAAAGCTGGAATTTAAATACCACAAGTTCACACGCTTCTACCAGTCCCTTGTTCCTGTGCCCCTTTCCAACAACGCTTATCACTTTAATTTCAAAAGTCATGCACCAATGCTATAAAATAGATACCCAAACTACCAAGAAGTCTCTTGCTCACGACTTTGGGATACTGTATTAGTATAAAAGAGCATTCAGTCATCTTAAATAAATATATTCTATTTTTGAAATCACAGCACATTCAAGGGGTAGTTACTGCCATAAGCAGAGCATTAAGTAATTTCCATAGATGTTTTCAGAATCATAGAATCATTTAGTTTGGAAAAGACCTTTAAGATCATTGAGTTTTGATTGATTTGGTCTAATATCTGGAAAATAACCTACTGTGGGGATAAGAATCTGCATCTCAAATGTTCTGCAGAACATTTTTCCCATATTTGTATACAGTACTAGAACAATTAAGAAGACATTACAGTAATTTTCTCCCAGCTGCTTAGGTCTGTAGCTTTGGCTACGACAATGTGTTTTGTATACCTCAAAACTACATATGAAATATCAAAGATCACTAAATAAATAAAAGCCAAGGAAAACTGGGACAGTACTGCATTTTACACTTGAGACAAGATTCCCCCCTCCCATGGATAAGTTACAGAGGACGACTACGGTAAATGCTTTTCTTTTTTTTTTTTTTTTTTCAAAGAAAGATTTATACACAGGTTCAGATCCAGAAAATAATGTGAAATGCATAAATATCGATAGCTTTAGCTAAGTTAAAATGGGTTCAGTAAAGTATGATACAACATATTCAGAATAAACAAAGCAGAAAAGCATCATATTTTGGTTTGCTTGAGATATACATAAGGTGCAACAATTTCTTCTCTAGAGGCATTTGTGGACAATGTGTTAACGGGTAACAGTGTTTGCTGGTATACTGAAGTACACACAATAGCAATAAGATTTTCCAAAATGAAAGCAGCTGAAATTAATAAAAATTAAAACAAAACAAACAAGGAAAAAAAACCCCAACCCCAATACAGTAAGATATTGGTCTGAAATTTTTGTTGTGCTAACAGACTTTGTTACCTGAAAATACTGATACCCCTTCTAGTAGATTCAGGGAAAATTCTAGCTACTGAAATCAAGACATCACTCAGAGAACCAACAAAGGCAAATGCCTAGTGAACTATAAAGCTTTGCAGGATTTCTGCTACTCTCAGTGCCTAATCGCTTAAAAATTAAGCATATCTACAAAAAGGTTTATAAGTATCTGAAAACAGTCATATCCAGTAAACTGACCCAACCCTACCCCCTCTCTAAGGGAAAGTCAAGGAAAAGCAGATCAAGTAAGATATTAATTCATATAGAAAAAAGTAATTTTCTGTTTCTTTTAAAAAAGGTACCATTAATATACAGAAATATCTTCAGGAACAATATTGAAATTTAAATCGAGGAAGGATGGGGTGCTTTGACAAAAATATATCTACTCTAAAGGTTTCTAGAGAAATAAGTTAGTACCATTGTCAACGTGAACGGCCTGCACTGTAACATATTTGGATTTCAGCTAATTATAAAGTGGTCCAAAACTCCCAGCAGCCACCTTGCTGTGACCCAACAGTTTTAAGTCTTCTAAGTTTTTCCTGTCTTGTTAAAATAACTTATAAAACTTTAATAAAATCTTATTAAAAATACTGCCATAGGCTGCAATGGCATTCTAGGGGCTCTTAGTCGTATCTTCACCTGAATTTTTAAAAAGCCTTTTCAGTGACTCATTGGCTCGTCAATTTTGTTGTTCTGTTGTTGTTGTTGTTCCCTTCTTCCAACACACGTATCCTCCATGGTGCTTTCAGTGACACTTCCCCAGCTACCTGCCTTCTGTCAGACCTTCCATCCTTTGTTACAACTCGTGTGGTACGTTGTGTATTGTTTCCCGACACTGAACCAAAGATTTTCACTTAACTACAACAATGAAAGGCTAAACCTAGCAAGCATTAATAGAGTTACTGTCCATATGGCTATTACATCAAATTAGTTACAAAATAACCCCAAAACACATTATCAATTCAGTCAAGTATAAATAAGAATGCCTGATAGAATGATGTAAACTCGCATCATTTAAAGACTTAATTCAAAGAACTTCAAACTCAATCTAATACTATCAAAAGTTCAGCCAGTATGACGAAGACTAATAGAAAATTATTGCTGGAGTCCAATTTGGTAAATTGTTGTGCTACAATGCAAAAAGTAGGGAAACATCTTGTGCTATAGAAGAAGTACCCTGTTGAATTTGTAGCTTTAGATCAATTACTAGTGATCGTTTTGCATCTGTTGGTAGGAATCAATGCTTGGTTATACAATAGTGTAAGTCAAGATAGCGAAGATAGCAGGCCAAGTGATACACTTGGCCTGCTTTTGGGATGTATTTATGAGAGCAAAACACAAAAATTCAACATAAGCAAAGACAGAAACTGGCAGATGGATCTGTTTGGTAGTCTGAATTCAGTCAAACGTTACTCTTCGGTTGTAGTTTACCTGTATACAACTTGCCACTTCACCAACACAAACTGTAATTGGCCCTGTACGCAAACTCTGAAAGCCGATTTGGACTGTGCATAGTAACTACAACAATGCCAGTGTCTGTAAAATGTATGTGTTTCGGTGTGCATGTATATCGAAAAGTCACGGTTTTAGGTTTTTCAGAACGGTGAAATAATACTAAGGTCACTTTTGAAAAACGCATTTGCAGTACTTTTTGTTTACAGCAAAGTTTCACCAAGTTGCTCAGATATCTATGCAAAAATAAAGGAACCCTCCAAGGCATGAAAGACAAGTCAATTATCTGCAGTATTTTCTTTTCCATACACCACTCCTTTTTCTAATGCACATCATCCTGGTTATTCAAAGCTAAATTAAAAAGAAACAAACCCAAACATAGCCTGTCAGAATTTTTGCCAGTAAACTCTACCACTCTGGTGGCAAATATAAAAGTGCAGAACATCTGGACCACATGGCTGCCCAAACACCGCTAACAATGGTACATCTGTCCAGGCTGCCTTGAGTTCTCTGGAACAGGTTTTAAATTCATTCTACAATATAAACGTAGGCATAACCTATTAATATAAACCATCTTAGAACTTAAATCTTCATGTACAAAAATGACTAAGAATATCTAATAATAACTAGTGCAGTGCGTCAGTGTTTTTGTTGTTGTTGGTTTTTTTTTTCTTTTTCATTTAGAATAACTAGGTATTATACGAAACTAGTTGCCATACTCTCTGGTTGGTAAAAGAGATGCTGTGTGAGCTAACAGTAAAGGCAGCCTTTTTCACACCAACCACCTATTTACTGTTTAAAAGCCTTCAATAGAAAGCAAGCTCTGGGATCATTCCATTTCTGTTCATTAGTAGACAATTAATATCACCCTCCTACATACTGGGTTCCGATTTGAGGACCTGGCCCAAGTTGCTAACGTCTGGCTTCCAGTGAATTCTGGGCCACTCAGAGCAATAAGCACTTGCTTGCAGTCTATAGTTTCCATCATATGGACTGACTAGCTTCCCTTGGTAAAGACAAGGCTAGGATATTAGGTAAAGCACAATGTTTTACAATAAAGTGGAGCTTCACTGGTCAGCGCAGGAAATAAGCACTGGAGCCTGAGACATTTCATTTGGCTGTCCGTCATGTGGGAGAGGTGTGGCCCTCTGACTTCTGCAAAAGAAGAAAAGAAAAGCCACCCATCATTATTTGGAGCGTGGGAAGTGCTTTTATCAGACCAGAAAGGATGGAAAGCGGCGTGTGATAGGGTTTAACATCCAACATTGCAGCACCGTGACTCCCTGCTGCTACGGATGCTCACATACCACTGTTACACCCTCTTTTTAGAGGTATTCCTGCAGTAGTAGCACAATATCCTGAGGACAACCTGCAACACAGTGCAAAGTCAGGCGAAACCAAGACGTGATGTTCTTGGACTACACAAAACAAAACGCGTGGCTGAAGGTAAGTTAAGAGCGCACAAGTGCTGCTACTCATTTTGTTAAGGGAGTGGCTTCAGCCCTCAGAAGCAGAGAGTACAGCTCGTGGGTGGCAGAAGAAGGTAAATGCACAGAGGCCTCTATCATGTTAATGCGAGTCAAAAGCCAGCTTTTAAGCAATATGGAAATATACTCCTCAGCAGAGTTGCACATTGGGATTACTCCAGGTTTCATGACTTAACACTTCATCAGCCTAGCACAACATCTCTTTCATTACTACAGCAGCATTAATTTACAAATGATCCCCTGGCACGGGGTATCATAAAAATAAACTGCGCCAGAATTATGTGCTGGAAATCAACATCAATCATTGTAGCAGATGGACTTGGGAGAGCTCCTTTGCAGCTTGCCTTTTAAAATACATACACAAGGCACGTCACCGCCCGTTATCTAATCTCACAAGTCAGGTTCTATTTTTGTTACTGTATGTGTCGTTTGCAGCAATGAAAATCTGGGGCCCACTTCTTATTTACACAAGGGCCACTTTACCTCACCCTGGCACACCTAAGACCCCAGCACAAATGGAGGTACCAACGTGCTTTGCACAACTGGAGTGTGGTGAAATGGCCTTGGCACCAAATGCAGCTCAGGCTCACAGCACTTAACCAGGGCATGCACAAGGTAAATAAAGTTAAACAGAAGCCTTCAAATGAAAACCACGCTGCCACTTCCAGGGAAGCTCTGATTACAGTTAAAAAGGAGTTTGGCTTCCATGGCCCAAGGCTCTGAAATTATTTAATCATTGAATTCAGACACTGAAGAAATGCGTCAAGCAAACCTCTAATGCTGTTCTTCTCATTTCCAGCTATTTGCAAATAAAGAAGCGAGTTGCAAAAGATAACAAACAGTCAACAGAGTAGAAAACATTGAAGCATCTAGCTCATCAGATTTAGGCTGCTGGTTTGACTTCCGTTTGCCAAGTCTGCGAGAGAGATGGCTAAGTTTCTACTGG